ATCACCCACGCAAACTCCACCGCCGGAGGTCCCGAACACCAGGGGAGGATAAAAAAAGGGAGGACCAAGGCTGGTCTGCCGCCACAAGCATCCTCAGAAGCCCGCAGCGACCGCCGGACGCCAAACCTGCAACCCCCGCCTTCAAGCTCCGTCCGCCATGGCGCTCAGTGACAAGAGCGGGACCACGTACGAGGAGGGGGAGGCAAAAAGGCCACCGAGCCAGCGTCGACGAACCTAGGGCGAGTCGGATGCTCGCCGGAATCGCAAGGAATTGAGGCCGCCAGAGAGGAGGCACCGAAGTGGTCGAGTGAGGGTTTTTTTTTCTGATTTTGGGGGAAAATGGAGAAGAGAGAGAAGAGAGCTTTTTTTCAATATTTGGATTGGTCATCCGTGCGCGAAAAAAGTTATGAATGAGCGGAACGTGGTCCCCCAACTTAAAACTTTTTTTTTTCTTTCTTCACGGTATTTTTAGCTAATAGTGCGCTAATTGTGGGTAAACGTTGAAACAAGCCGAGTTTGAATTAGAGTTTTAGATATTTAAATTCAGGGTCGAGTCTTTCTGAGTTGATATGAACTCGACTCTTAAGTTCTCAATAAGTTAAGAAGAGACTGAACAAGCTCAAAACGAGTTGAAACGAATTTAATACAATTAATTTTTTTTTTTCTATAGAAATAACCATTTTCAGATCTAGTAAAACATAATCGTTCTCCCAAAATAAGATGAGCAATTCTCCAAATTTAAGATGTGGAAGATAGGGCTGTAAACGAGCCGAGCCGAGCTCGACTCGTTAAATAAACGAGCTCGAGCTCAGCTCATTAAGGCCTCAAGCTCGAGCCTTAACGAGCAGATCTTGAGCTTTAACGAGCCAAACTATAAAAAATTATATAAAAATTCTGTTTTCAAACCTTATCGAGCCGAGAAACGAGCTCGAATCTGGCTCGTTAAGGCCACGAAGTCGAACCGAATTCGAGCCTTAACGAGCCGAGCTCGAGCGAAGCCGAGCCAAGGTCGTTTTATTTAACAGCACTAGTGAAAGATAAGCAATTGTTCTCTCAATAGATGTGGAAGATAACCATTTTGAAGATCGAGTAAAACACAATTGTTCTCCCAAAATAAGATGAGCAATCCTCCAAGAAAACCTCAGGGATAATGTGGAAGATAACATGAGGGTTAGATGTCAAGAATAGAGATGTCAAAACGGGCTGGTGGGGCGGGCTGGCCCGCAGCCCGCCAAAACCCGCAGTTTGGCGGGACGGGGCGGGGCG